GCAGCAGCCGTTGGGACCCCCGCCGCTGTGGTGGCCCGACTGCGCTGGTGGTGGGCCACGCAGCTCGGTGTCGGGTGGTAGCTCCAGTGTAGTGACCTGCCAGTACCACGTTCAGTTCGGCCCCCGCCGCGGCACCGTCTGCAACCGTCCCGGTCACACCGCTGCCTAGACGTCCTCTTTCATCTCCGCTTTGGCCCCGCGTCGGACCCCCCCGACTGGTACATCCTAGTGCATCACGGGGTGCCTGTCTTTGAGCAAGGATATGGATCAGATTAGGTCTGCTATGTATGTCATGTATGCTGATGACTCTAGTTTGACTAGACCCTATTACTCTGTGTTGCCTAGTGTAGGTGTGTCCACTGTGTGTAGCCTAAGTTCCCCTGCTACGTTAGCCGTAGGACCACCTGCCTTGTTTAGCCTTGGCTCCACTCTAGCTCCTCCATCTTCAGATGCCACCGCCGCACTGTCTTTTACGCTATACTCGGGTGTGTCTGCTTGCTTCTTTCGTGACCACACTATGCTCATGGCGCCTGCCGCCCTTGCCACTGTAGCGCTTGCTGACCCCTCCTCACGTCCGGTAGTTGCACGTAGCTCCACTACCCTTCCCTGTTCGACGGTTCCCTCGGGCTCCCGTACAGGCTTTTACATCCCCTCGTTCTCCAGGAACCTAGTTGGTGTCGGATGTCTTCAGGACCTCAGCATCACCACTACGTTTCTGGACACGAGCGGTACGTAGTCTGCACCGAGGCCGCTGCTGGTGCCCCTCTCACCACATTCCCCCGGGACCCGGTGTCTAGCCTGTTCACTCTAGACACCGCGTCCCCCCCAGTGGGAGCGGCCCCCCAGGTGGTTGTGCCCTCCCAGCTCGCTGCGGCTTGCTCGTGTCGGTCGCTCACCCACCTGTCGCTGCTGTGGCGCGATAGCTTAGGTCATCCCGCACTCCCATGTTTGCGTCACACGTCCCAGTACGGTCTTGTCTTACTGTAGGTCTCCCTGAGTCGCTCCCTTCCCTCCCTCCCTCGCCTCCACCGCCGTGTACGCCATCCGTCGAGGGCCGGCTGTGCCGTGCCCTACTACTGCGCCACTCCAAACCCTGCACGTGGACGTCTGTGGCACAGCACCCGTCCCTGGGCCGCATCTAGAGCACTACTTTCTGGTGCTAGTCGATGACTACACGTGCTACACCATGGTGTTTCCCTTGGAGCGTATGGCCGAGGTGCCTGGCGATCTTATCCCGTGGGTCATAGCTGCACGAGTCCATTGCAACCTCCATGTGTTGCGTCTTCACTCCGACCGTGGCAGCGAGTTTGCCTCCTGTCGGCTTGGCCAGTTCTGTCGTGCGGAGGGCATCACCCAGCCGTACACCCTGCCAAACTCCCCGTAGCAGAATGGGGTCGCTAAGCGACGCATCGGTTTGGCCATGGAGGTGGCTCGTACCTTCATGATCCATGCCGGTGCACCCCATTTTCCGTTGCCATTCGTTGTTCGCTATGCTGCTCAAAAGCTTAATCTGTGGCCACACTCCCAGCGGCCGCAGGTTTCGCCGACCCTCCTCTGGACCAGGTCCCCTGGTGAAGCGACTGCGTTCCACGTCTGACGCTGCCTTGCTCACGTTTATGCCTCTGGCACGGACAAGCTCACTGTCCGCACTGTCCCCTATGCCTTCCTTGGCTTCCCCCTAGACGCGTCTGACTGGAACTTTTACCACCCGCCGTCTCACAGTTTCTTTCAATCTCGCGATGTCAATTTTGGTGAATCTGTCTTTTTCTATGCCAGCTTCCTCACCAAGGTCTCCCGGTTGCCTCGCCCATGTCCCTGGTCCCCACTCCCCGGGTATCTCCTGCTCCTCTCCCTCCCCGTCCTGCCCCGTCTGGTGTGTCTCACGTCCCTCCCCTCCCGTCGGCCGTCCCGATGGAGTAGTCGGCTCACTCTGGGGCCCCTGCGGCTCAGGGTTCTCCGCCAGTCTCCACCTCGGTTGCTCCTCCTCCGCCTCCACAACCGTAGTCGCCATGGCTGCCGCAGCAGCCACCACCGTCGCCGCCGCACCAGCAGCTGCCGTTGCCGCCGCAGCCGCCGCATGGGTTTCGAGAGCTCTGGGGGTAATGCATTGAGGAGGGTGCTGGTTCTTAGGGTGCTCGTCCTAGGGGTACTGTCGTGTCTTGTCCCGGCGGTCCTAGGGGTGAAACGGGTGCTGGAGAGGTTTCTCGTTCTGGGGGTGTTTGCATGGAGCGTTCCGAGGTAGTCGTGGTGCAGCTGGAGGTTTTGGTGTTGGCGTGGAGCAGCAGTAGTTGCAATCGCCGCCGGTGTCCGCCCTTCGCCTCCTCGGTCTTCCATCCCCCGACCGCTCGCCTGCGCCTCCCCCGCCGCCGCCTCCGTAGCTTGTATACGGCTCTGTGTTTCCTCCTCATGACTCGTCCCCGACTTGTTTCCCCCCTCGTTCTTTTGCTGTGTCTCCTCGCTTTTCTCCTGACCCGACCCTCCCCTCCCGCTGGTGGTCTCACCATGCCTCTCGTGCTCGTCCTGTCTCTCCAATTCAGCGCTCACCCAATGTTGCTCCGTTCTCATACATCTCGTGCTCCCCTTCTCCCGTTGCCTCCTTAGTCGTCCCTTGTTGTCTCCCCTCCTCCTCTCTCTAACGTCCTCCATTTCGCTAGTCCACTTATCCTTCGCATTCTCACTTCTCTTGTTATCGACCCATCTATCCTGTCTCCAGTCTTGACGCTCTTGTTGCTGCCATCGCTGACTTTGCGTCTACCCACCGCCTTGACTACGCCACCACTTTGGTTTCTGACCCTGCCCGCCCTCTGTCCGTCAGGGGTGCACCTCCCTTTGGCAATGACGTTCTAAAGGACTGGCAGTACGAGCTTGCTTTTCTATCCGAGGCCGCTCCCCATCTCTACTCCATGCTGCTAGTCCCTAAGGGTGACCCAGACGCCCTTGACATCCCGACCCCTCGCACCTACGCTGAGGCAACCTCGGGACCCTGGGCCTCTCAGTGGATCGCTGCCATGGACACGGGGATGGCATCTTAGAGATCAACCGACACCTACGTCGACGCAGTTTCCCCACCTGGGGTGAACGTAGTCGATGGACGGTGGCTCTTCGAGGTGAAGCGCCCTCTCAGAGAGCCGCCGATGTTCAAGGCACGCTACGTGGCTAGAGGTTTCAGTCAGCGCGAGGGTCTTTACTTCTTTCAGACCTTCGCCCCGACCCTGAAGATGACCACTCTTCGGGTGCTGCTACACGTAGCAGCACAGCGTGACTATAAGCTCCACTCTCTCAACTTCTCCCCGCATTTCTCCAGGATAGTCTGCACGAGCAGGTCTACCTGCGCCATCTGCCAGGCTTCACCGGCACCTTCGCCCCTAGGACCAAGTGGCTCCTCCGGCACTTGGTTTGCAGCCTGCGACGAGCACTCCATGAGTGGCAGGACATGCTGCCTGCTACATTAGCTGACTTGCAGTTCTTCCCATCCTCTGCAAACCCTTTGCTCTTCGTTCGTTCGGGCCAGACCCCGTTCTACATCCTTGTCTACGTAGACGACTTGGTGTTCGCTACTGTAGACTGAGACGCAGTGGCCTCTGCAAAGGCTTAGCTGCTAAGGAGACACACGTGCACTGACCTAGGAGAGCTGTGCCACTACCTTGGCCTGCACATCTCCAGGGACAGAGCAGCGTACACCATCACTCTTACACAGTCACACTTGGTGCGCCAGGTTCTTCAGAGGTTCGGCCTTTAGTTCTCCTCTGCACAGCCCACACCTCTGCCAGTAGATCACAGGCTCTTGGCTCTAGTCCCTGAGGAGTCTGTAGAGCCTAGTGGTCCTTATGCTGAGCTGGTGGGTTGCTTCATGTACCTGATGACATGCCTTGTCCAGATCTCGCATACCCTCTCAACATTCTGCCTCCCTTTGTGGCCACAGGCAGACATTGATCAGAGCACTAGTCGGCCACTACGAGGGTTTTGCATTACCTAGCAAGTATATCGAGCATGGGGCTAGTATTAGGAGGATGCAGGCCAATGGTCCTTACAACGCACACAGACGCTTCGTGTGCAGATAACGCTGGGACGCTCAGGTCCTCCTATGGCTACTACTTAAGCCTTGGTGCATGTGCCATCTCGTGGAGGTCCACCCACTCATCGCTCGGTATGAACTGTCTGCATCGACAGCCGAGGAGTAAATCTCAACCTCGCTTTCCGGTTGTGTCACAATCGCGCCAAGCAAGAAACGGTTGAAGCAGAACTCGAAAACCTTGTAACAAGACGGAAAAAAAATGGTGTTACTATTTTCGAAACAAGTGTGGCATAGCGATATGTTTCAAAGTGCTAAACATCCGGACAATTATTTCCGCCATTGTATGTTGCCCAGTCTAGCTGTGAGGCCGAGATCTACGCTGTGCCATGGCGTCGCAGGATCTCCATTGGCTGACTTTCTTGCTCACAGACTTAGGTGAGTGTCCTAGCTCTTCCCTGGTCTTGTTCGCTGACAAGAGGGCCATGATCCTCCTGTGCCGAGAGCCTTGACTGCAGGGCAGAGCGCAGCACATCCAGCAGCGGTACTTCCTCCTTCGTGAGCTACAGCAGCGCCGCCAGGCCCGCGTAGTTCACTTGGCCTCAGGTGCCAACACAGCTGATATCTTTACGAAGGCGCTTGCGCCTAAAGATCATCAGCGGCGCTGCGTACATCTTGGTCTAGTTCCTATAGCTTCTCACTTGCTAGGACCTTGATTGTGTACTATATCTTATATTACCTTGACTGGCCTTGTGGCTCCTGTTCTAGTGGCTGGACTAGTAGTGCCGCCCTGGGTTACTCTAGTAGATCTTGCCTACATTACGAGTCAGCTCGTGCAGTATCTGCGCCGACCTGAAGCAGAGAATATGGCCGATCTTCGTCGAGCCCTCCAACATTTCATTTCAACTTCTACAGAAGAAATGGCAGTCGATTTTCTTACGAAGAAACACCCACGCAGCAAGTTTCAATACTGCTCCAGCCTAGTTGGAATATGCAAATGTGGCGACAATTACTGAGAGACATACCCTCAGGAATGAAGGGGAGTGCTAAATTATACTCGACAGAGTTACCATCTATGCATTCCTGATATTATACTTACTGTAGATTGTACTAGCAGCGCGATACCTCATATGGAATGACGCGTGTGATAACGTCAGCAGAAGCGAGTCAAGGCGTGAATAGTTGGTTCGCGCGTATAGTCACCCAAAGGGTTACGCCACTCTCAGTCATACGAACAGTCACTAGTCATGTCACGCGAATAGTCGTGATACACTACGAACGGGTACATCTCGAATAGGTTCTTCATAAACTATATATATGCCTGTATCACTCATAATTATCCTTGCCATTTCAGTCATTTCCAATACAAGGTGTAAAGTCTTCCGCTTACACTCTACTCTTCGTTCCACCAACTCTAGATCCTGGCCACCCTAAACACGTGGTTCACTTCAACACATTTTGTCTGGTGTTGCAGAACATAAGCCACTCGCTATGCTGCGGACCTAAAATTTGAAAGCAAAAGGCACACATTTTTAGCGAGAGGAGAGTGACGGGCGTGAGAGTGTGGCGCGGCGAGAAGGGAGTGGCACGGCAAGAGGTGAGTGATGGGCGAAAGAGTGTGGCGCGGCGAGAAGGGAGAGGCATGGCGCGAGGTGAGTGACGGGCGAGAGAGTGTGGAGCTAATCTTTCTCTCCCGCCGCGCCTGTCACAGGATCGAATGTGTCGAGGAAAGGATGCACTATCGATTGATACAAGGCGCTTTTATACTTCCAAAGTACATCAGGTAACCAGGTTTATCTTATCCCAAGGGAATAGACCCTTCTAGAAAATAGAATCACCCTGCGTATAGCCACGCGAGGCTATTGGCTTTAAGGGATTACGGCAGGATTACGCTAGATATAGTGTACCAGTACATCCCGAGCCTGGTCGGTGATATAATGATAATAACAGGATAAACCAAAGGTTTATGGAAAAGAAAGAATAGGAATCCAAATGGAACGAGAGAAAGACCAAATGAATCAAGATAAAAAAGAGGAATGAAATGAAAAGGAGAAAGGAATGGAACGGGGTCGTACTCTCACACTTCCCCCCCTCAAAGCTGGGTGGTAGACGTGACACCCTGCTTGACAAGGTAGTCGCGAAGAGGATGACGAGCGTGATCCATCTCGGATTCAGAGACCCAACTATCCTCAGAAGGATCATAACCCTTCCAACGGATGAGAAGCTCCACGGTGCCATTCCGTCGACGGTGGTGAGCAAGCACAGTCAACCTTGTACTCGGGTTCATCATGGATGAGGATGGGCGGCGGCGGCGGCGGTTGGCATCTAGGGAAGACCGTGTTGGGATCTCGGCAGGGCTTCAAGAGTTGGACATGGAAGGCATTGTGAATCTTCCAGGTAGCTGGCAGGCGTAAGCGAAAGGTAACAGGAGTGCCCTGTGCTTCTACGAGAAAAGGCCCGCAGAAGCGAGGTCGCAGTTTGGATAGGAGATGGCTGATGTCAAGATTGCGCGTGTCAAGTAGTACTCGGTCTCCCACGGTGATGGTGTGGTCTGTGCGGTGGCGATTGGCCTGACGCTTCTGTTGTTGCTGAATGTCGAGAAGGCGCTTGTGCGCTTGTGAGAAGTTTCTGCATGGTCGTGATGAAATCATGAGCGGGTTGGACTGTGGCTGGTATGGTTGGCTGTTGAGGTGTAAGTGGGTGGCGGCCGTAACAGAGGAAGAATGGCGTCTGTCCAGTGGCGGCGTGAGTAGCATTGTTGTAGGCAAATTCCAGGACGGGCAGATGCAAGTCCCATTTGGAGATGTCGTCCTTGCAGGCTGCGCGGAGGAGTTGCTCCACAATTTGGTTGAGGCGCTCGGTCTGTCCATCTGTCTGCGGATGGTAGGCGGATGACATGGCCAGTTTGGTCCCGAGTAGAGACACCAGTTCTTTCCAGAATTTACTGGTGAACTTAAGATCTCGGTCGGAGATGAGTGTGGTCGGAATGCCATGTTGTGAGATGATGTAGCGAGCAAACAGTTGTGCTGTCTCCTCGGTGCGTGCTGTTGTGTGTGTCGGGATGGAGTGTCCCATTTTGGAGAACTTGTCAATGACGATGAGGATCACGTCATGATCGTTTGTGCTAGTTGGTAGCCCGGTGATGAAGTCTAGGCTTACCACTTGCCATGGCTGTTCTGGGACAGGAAGAGGCTGTAGCAAACCCGCCTTTTTCTGCTTGCTGCTCTTCATCCGCTGACATGTAGTGCACGAGGTGACGAATTTCTGTACGTTATCTGCCATGTGGGGCCAGTAGTAGTGTTTGGCGATACCGGTGAGCGTCTTGTTGCTACCGAAGTGTCCCGCGTACAGGACGTCGTGGTATTCTTCGAGTAACAATTGGTGCAATGGAGGGTAATTAGGTACCCAGATCTTCGTTGATCCTTTACGGTACGCGATGTCGTTGTCCCAATGTAGCAGATGTCACTTTTCTGCCAAGGGAATTTCGGGGTCGATGGTGTACCCGTGTGTGAAGAGTCCCTTGAGGAGTGGATTCATCCCTTCAACTTGGATAGCGGCAACGTGTGCAAGCCGGCTAAGCGCATCTGCTTTGTTTTTGTGGCCGGGCTTGTACACGATATTGATGTGGAAGTGTGTCTCGAGGAAGTCAATCCACCAGACCTGCCGCCTTGAGAGGCTGGGTTGTGTTATCAAATATTTTAGGCTGCAATGGTCGGTGTAAACTGTCGTCTTGCGTCCTTCGAGATAACGTCTCCATGTTTTGAAGGCGATGATGATAGCAAGGCCATCCTTGTCGTGTATCGGGTAGTTGAGTTCTGCCCCGTGTAATTTTTTGCTGAGGTAGGCAATTGGTTGCAGGCCATTCCCCTAGTCTTGCATTAAGACTGCTCCCACTGCCTGGTCGCTGGCGTCAGCTTCGATGACGTAGTCGCGTTCGGGGTCTGGCAAGATGAGTACGGGTGCGGACATGAGTGCTTAATTCAGCTGCTCCACGACTTTCTGGTGTTGTGGCTCCCATTTATAGGGCGTGCTCTTCTTTAGCAGATTCGTAAGTGGCGCGGCGATCTTCGCGTATTGTGGCACGAACCTGTTGTAGTAGTTAGCGAAGCCTAGGAACTGCTGTAGCTCCTTCACGTTCTCGGGTGTCTTCCACATACGCACGGCTTCGATTTTCGTGGGGTTGACGTGAACTCCTTGAGCGCTTACGATATGTCTGAGGAATTGGACTTTCTCGAGGGCGAATTCGCTCTTGGATAGTTTGACGTAGAAGCGTTCTCGCCGAAGAATTTCGAAGATGCGTCGCAGGTGTTCGACGTGTTGTTGCATGTCGCACGACTAGACGAGGATGTTGTCCAGGTACACCACCACGCATCGAAGAGTGGGCGTAGGATGTGATTCATCTCTGCTTGGAACGTTGCAGGTGCGTTGGTGAGTCCGAACGTCATAAGCCAAATACTCGTACGATCCGTACCGTGTTCGGAAAGCTGTTTTGTGGATGGAGCTGTCCGCCATTCCTATCTGCCAGTATCCGCACCGCGGATCTAGTTTTGAAAATATCGTGACTCCCCGAAGCTGGTCAAGCAGGTCATCGATTCGTGGAATCGGGTACTTGTTCTTGATGGTCTGCTTGTTGCAAGCTCGGTAGACGATGCACATGCGCAGGCTTCTGTCCGGTTTTGGTGTGAAGAGTACTGGGGCACCGTATGGCAAAGTGGATGGTCGGATTAGTCCTTTGGCGAGGAGATACTCGATCTGCTTCTTTATGTCGGCTAGCTCTGTGGGGCTGAGCCGATATGGTGCTCAGAAGGTCGGTTTCGAACCTGGTTCTTCCACGATCTCGTGTTAATGCGTTCGGTATGGCGGTAGCTCGTCCGGGAGGTCGTCGGGAAGAATGTCTTGGAACTCCTTCAGTATTTCCTTGATTTCTCTTGGAGGTTCCAAGATCTACTCCTTGTCCCTTTCCACGTCTGTTGCTAACGCCAGGATCCCGGTGTTGGTTCGTTTCACGTCCTTCTCGAATCTGGCGAGTGTCTCCACTGGGATATCTCCTCTATCATCCCAGTTGGGTAGCTGGACTCTCCTTCCTTGGTTGTAGATGCTTGCGGTGCAGTTTACCCAGTTGATCTCGGGGTTGAATTTCTTGAGGAAGTCCCGCCCGAAGATCAGGTTAAGCCCTTTTATGTTGGTGATGGGGAGAGCAGGTTTCCAGCGCAGTGGACCAATTTGTAGGTGTAGCACTGCTTTGCCGTACACGGTAACTTGATGCCGTCCACCATCATTGCAGAAAACGCTGATGGCTTGTACTCTTTTCGAAGTCGGTCGAGGGTTGCCTTGTCGCATATGGTGTGCGATGCTCCGCTGTCCACGAGTGCTTGGAGGCGTCGTCCTTTGCAGATGACCTCGAGCACGAGGGGCAGGCGTTGCTCGGAGTACCCAAAGATAGTTTCATTGATTAGGTTATAGGGTACATCCCAATATTCGTTGCTTCCTACTCGTGAGCTGGCAGCTGGCCGAGGCTGCTTGGAGAAAAGTTTCTTCTCCAGGGCCTGGAGTTTCCGTGACGACTATTCGTGTCGTTGACGAAGTTGCCGAGTTGGATGCATCCGAAGAAGGAGTTCGGGGTTTTTGCAGCTTCCCTTCGGATAACTATACGCGCGAACCTACTGTTCATGCGTTGACTTGACTTGCTACTGCTGACATCATGACGTGCGCCTTTACATATGAGGTATCGTGTTACAAGTACTAGCGGCAGTGTTTCTGAAATGGTATGAGAGCCAGAGGTCTCGGGTTCGAATCTCAGTGAAGTGCACTGCAGAAGTGCTGAGTGCTCCGCCTACCCCAGCAAGAAGGGGTGTTAAGAGACCTGCTGGGTTCGCCCTAGAAGATCCTCAGAAGGGCCACAGGCTGCCATGCCTGGGGGGCTATGGGTGTCAACTTAGTGTATAGATATTATTTATATATAGTTGTTTAGGTTTGGTAGATTAGGTGTGCTACAATACTTAATGCTTCTGTAGAGGGTACATCACCCTTCGTGTACCCCTCTCTTCTAGTCCACCTCTCTTTTCTCTCATCAACTTTTCTCCCTAGCTAAAAGGGAAAGTACATCGGCGCTCAGTATTAGGGGCCTCGATAATATGTACGGTCAGTGACGCAATATAAACAATCAGAATTAGCGAGTTCGCAACATGTTTCATCAGTCGGGTTCCACGGTTAGTCAGAAACTGTAGGAAAAAAGTTCCACGAATGGTCAGTAGAAGTAACCCCCGCCTGTCTAGGAACGTTTTCCCGCTCGTGCCAGCCCAATTTCGTCATCCTTGTGGCAGGCGCGAAATTTCTCCCCAGCTCCAGGCGCAGTTCGAGAGAACTACGAAAAATATTCCCAAAATAAACATTCTTTAAACGTCGCGCACACAAAATTCCAAAATTGAGGCCCTGCACATTTCTGTCATATAAGCTAATCGGGCCACAGTGGGCCGCACATCGGGTGCGACATTGTTCAAACATTAACAAACGCGCACACAACAAAAAAATATTTGACACACAAGGGCAAATCTATCCGGGATCCGCGCTAAGCAATTGAGGCATCAATATTCTACTGTGCCGCGCATGCGATAATTTTTTTCGAGCATGACGTGACTTGTAGAGTCGTGAATTAGCGGGAATGTTTTTGCAGTAAATTCATTTGTGAGAAATTTTATAACCACAGCCGGCATAAATCTAAAAGATTTGTTGTACTTAAGTTAATACAAAATTTGGTGCGGCTATGAGTGTACTTTGCTGCACTTTTAAACATATTCATTTCCCAAAATAAATTTCCATAGTTTTCATTATATGTTTTTCTTTCAAGCGATTCGGGAATGGCGATAAGTTTAAGGCTTGACTTTATGGGGGGAGTAAATGCGGTAGAGACAAAACCGCCATTCTTAAGCTTCACGGAACGCACTACACTCTACCACGAAAGTATGTGTTTCGAAACAAAATCGTATTTTCTTGTTTCTCGAATAACTTGTGTCCAATACAATTAAATTTGGGTATATTACGTCTTTTCGCTCGAACTGCGCCTGGAGCTGGGGAGAAATTTCGCGCCAGCCACAATGATGACGAAATTGGGCTGGCGCGAGCAGGAAAACGTTCCTAGACGGGCGGGGGTTACTCTTAAAGGAAAACAGAATAATGATTGACTAGAAAGAATTGTACAAGGACATATATCTAAGGGTTGTACTCTCTAAGAAATGACCCTATACAGTCTATACAAACATTGTAGATAAACATGTTTGACACACCCCCTAGACTGCATAGGGGCAGGTCCTGAACAAGCAGCTCAGGGCGGCACTACTAGTCCAACCTCTGAGACAAGGGTCTAAAGACCAGTCAAAAGGAGTACAGACAAGACAAGAACAAGACCAGGACGGCACTACTAGTCCAGCCACTGGGAGAGGACACAAGTCCAGTCTGAGTACATATGCAGACATATATAGAATAGTACAAGGTCAAGGTCCTAGCAAGTGAGAGGCTACAGGAACTAGACCCAGCTGTACACAGTGCCTCTGATGATCTTTAGGCGCAAGCGCCTTCGTAAAGATATCAGCTGTGTTGGCACCAGAGGCCAAGTGAACTACGCGGGCCTGGCGGCGCTGCTGTAGCTCGCGCAGGAGAAAGTACAGCAGCTGAATGTGCTTCGCTCTGCCCTCAAGCCGAGGCTCCTGACACAGGAGGATCATGGCCCTGTTGTCAGCGTACAGGACCGGGGCAGAGCTAGGCCGCTCACCTAAGTCAGGGAGCAAGAAGGTCAGCCAGCGGAGCTCCTGTGCCGCCATGGCACCAGCGTAGATCTCAGCCTCACAGCTGGACTGCGCAACAGACGAGGAGCGGGTAGCTCTCCACGAGACGGCACCTGAGCCAAGGCTGAAGCAGTAGCCCTGGGTAGACCTGAGTGTCTCAGCGTCGTCTGCCCACAAAGCGTCTGTGTGTCCAGTAAGGACCACTGGCCTACGTCCTCCTAGCACTAACCCCATGCCCGATGTACTAGCAAGATAACGCAGAACCCTCTTAGCGGCAGACCAGTGCAGCGGTCGGTGTCTGCCTGTGGCCACAAAGCGAGCCAGGATGCTGAGAGGGTATGCGAGATCTGGGCGAGTGCAAGTCATCAGGTACATGAGGCAACCCACCAGCTCTGCGTAGGGGCCGCTGGGCTCTACCAACTCCTCAGACACTGGAGCGGAGAGTCTGTGGTCTACAGGCAGAGGGGTGGGCTGTGCAGAGGAGAACTGAAGGCCGAACCTCTGAAGGACCTGACGCACCAAGTGTGACAGTGTCAGAGTGATGGTGCGTGCTGCTCTGTCCCTAGAGATCTGCAGGCCAAGATAGCGACGCAGCTCTCCAAGGTCAGTGCACGTGTGTCTCTTCAGCAGCTCGGCCTTCACTGAGGCCAGTGCGTCCCTGTCAGCAGTAGCAAAGACCAGGTCGTCGACGTAAACAAGGATGTAGAACGGAGTCTGGCCGGACCGCACAAAAAGCGAGGGGTCAGAGGACGACGGAAAGAACTGCAGGTCTGCTAGCGTGGCACGCAGCGTGTCGTGCCACTCGCGGGGAGCTTAGCGCAGGCCGTAGACCGGGCGCCTGAGAAGCCACTGGGTCCCAGGGGGGAAGGTACCAGCGAAGCCCTGTGGTCGGCGCAGGTAGACCTGCTCGTGTAGGCTGCCCTGAAGAAAGGCAGTAGAGAAGTCGAGGGAGTGAAGCTCGTAGTCGCGCTGTGCTGCTACGTGTAGCAGCGCCCGAAGAGTGGTCATCTTTGGGGTCGGGGCGAAGGTCTGGAAGAAATCCACCCCCTCGCGCTGACTGAAGCCTCTGGCCACGTAGCGCGCCTTGAAGACAGGCGGCTCTCCTTGGGGGCGCTTCACCTTGAAGAGCCACCGACCATCGACTACGTTCACCCCAAGTGGGGGAACTGCGTCGACGTAAGTGCCAGTGGACCTCCAAGATGCCATCCACTGAGAGGCCCAGGGTCCAAGATGCCATCCACTGAGATGCTCTATGGCAGCTATCCACTGAGAGGCCCAGGGTCCCGAAGTGGCCTCAGCGTAGGTGCGAGGGGTCGGGATGTCAAAGGCGTCTGGGTCACCCTCAGGGACTAGGAGCATGGAGCAGAGATGGGGAGCGGCCTCGGAAAGGAAAGCAAGCTCGTACTGCCTGTCCTCTAGTACGTCACTCCCAAGGGCAGGTGCACCCCCGACGGACGGAGGACGGGCAGGGTCAGAGACCAGAGCAGTAGCGTAGTCAAGGCGGTGGTTAGAGGCGAAGTCAGCGACAGCAGCGACAAGCGCGTCAAGGCGCGAGACGGGAACAGAAGGGTCGGTAACAAGAGAGGCAAGAACCCG